CGCCTAAGCGACGACGTGAAGCTGGCCGCAGCCACCCTCAGCTGCCAGGCCGCGCAGCGCCCTCGAGCCAACGGCAGCAGCCCCTGGCGCAAGAACCCGCGCGCAGCGCTGGGGGCGGTGGCGACCGACCAAGTGGGGCTGAAGCTGCTGCTCGAGGAGGGGCGGGTGCGCGTGCATTTAGGTTGTTGCGCTGCTGACCTCACGAGTGTGATGCTTGTTGGGGGTTGATGAGTGCGGTCGATGGATGGGTTTTAGCCGCCCACAGGCTTGTGCGCGGGGATGTTGTCGTGTGGGGGCAGAGAGTTTGGTGTGATGGGGGATTAGGGCGGGACGTCGTGCATCAATGATGTGTGCGGTGCCAATCGCAGGAGCGGGGGCAGGGTGCGACTTGTTGGCAGATGCCAGGATGCTGTCCTTCCTGCTGGCAGGTGGTTATGTGCGTTGTGGGAGCGCATGGGGGTAGGTGCGACATTCCGACACAGAGGGCAGTTTCGCTCCCCACAAGCGTGGCCAAGGTCCCCAAGTTCCATGTGCGCGCCCGCGCCCCAGGTCATGGGCTGCCACACCACCGCGGCTGCCAATGCCTACTGGTCAGACTCTGGCGCGGTGGCGGCCGTGCTCAAGGCCGGCTTCACAGTGGACTCCCTGCTGGGCAGGTGGGTCAGGGGCATGGGGGCTCTGGTGCTAGGGGTTGCACTCTGGTTTTGGTATGCCACAGGTCCCTTGAGTTGCTTGTATGGATGGTATGAGGATTATGGATGTAATTTTGTGCTTGGGTGAAGGTATGTGTTAAAAAGGCTGATGGGGTGCACACATACACACACACGCACACACACACACATACACACACACGCACACACCAGCTTCCAAGGCGTGGACTGGCGCGACGACCGCAACTGGCACTGCAACGGCGGCATCGACCCCGCCGGCCCCGAGGACGTCCCCTACGACGGCACATGGCTGGACCCCCTGGAGTCAATGTTTGTGCGCGTCAAGTCAAACCTGCTGCTGCACCGCCTGCCGAGCGCGGTCAAGGCGGCCAAGCTGTCGGCGTGGGAGGCCGGGGCCACGGTGGACCGGCTGAGGGCGGCGGCGCGTGAACCGGTGGACCCGCGGCCGCGCATCCTGGGTGAGCCCGGCACACAGGCCTCTCACTGCCTGGCGGATAGTCGGGGGCCGGCCGAGCGTGGGGGAGATGTTGGGGCAAAGGCGGATGGTCCTGGGTGGGATGGGGCTGGGGCCAAGGCAGGGGAGTGGAGGGTTGATGGGGGTGAGGATCAATGGGCAGCGCTAGGGAAGGGCCTTGAACCCCCACCTAGGCCCACGGGATGAACCGGGGCCTGAGATGGAGTCCCGGCGCCTCCGCGTCTGCTGCCTAGGGCACGCCGCTGATGCTGATCTGGCGGTGTCACGCGGCGCCGCACGTCACGGGATCTTGTTGTTGATGCGTGCAGGGAACGAATACAAGAACGGCTCTGCGCGCTTCAAGCTGTCCCGCGTGCTGACCGCCCTGGTGGTGAGGGCGAGCAGCACTCTCACAGGCGAACGCCGATCGTGTGCAACTTCTAGTGTGGGAGTGGGGTGGGGCGCCAGTCCCCCTGGCACGCCGGCCTCTGCCATGCCGTTTGCCGCTCGTCTGCCAGCCACGCGTACTAGCCTGCCGGCCACGTGTAGCCGCACCTTGCTCTTGACTGCTGTCTATCCCTCGTGCATGAGACAAAACCCTGAATCCCTTTCGCCGCACGCGTCGGCAACGCCCCGCCAATCCCTGTCCGTCCTTCAGCGTGGCATGAAGTGCTTTGACGTTGACTTTTTTGTGGCGCGCAACGCGGACGTGCGGTCCCAGAGCCAGCACCCTCACGTCGTGTGGCGGTTCTTTGTGTATGTTGGTCAGTTCGAGGATCGCGCGTACAGGTGAGCGCGTGTGGACTGAGCGTGTGTGAGTGGATGTGCCGAGGGGGAGCGGACGGGGTGGGGCGTGTGCGCGGGGTGCGTGCATGCGTGGGTGGGTGCGTTGGTGGTCGAATCGTTGTTGGATACGAAAGTTTACTGTTATGTGGAGGGGTGACCACGCCAGGCGTGCCACCTGGCCAGCTGTCAAGGACACCAGTGCCCATCACAGGGCGTCACCGCAAGTACCACAGCCCCGTAACCATTGCCGACCGCACCTGCACCTCTTTTCCACAGGTACACGTGCCCAGTGAATTATGAGCAGTTTGTTGCACCTGCGTTTTGATCGATCAATGCTGCAGTCATACACTTGCGCACAACATTGCAATGCATGCATTTTATTGCTTCATGCATCTTGGTGGCCTTGCCGGCCTCACCTTGCCTGTAAATCATTGATGTTTGCTTTGCGGAATCTGAAGGGGCGAGGCTTGCAGGCCCCTGATGCAGCTTTCACCTTCCTCCCGCTTGGCCCTTGGGCGGCTGACAGGCACAGCGTGCTCGAGCCTTTGCACCCTGATTGGAAGGCTTGGGACAGGCAAACGGCAGGGAGCGCGGCAGCGCAGCGTCATGCTTTCGGCCGGCTTGCTGCCATTTTTGTGGGTGCCATGACCAAAGTGGGTAATGGTCTTGAACACAGCTTGGTGGGCAAGGCGCAAGATTGTCACTTGACCCCAAGGGCTGCAGGCTGCCTGCCATGCCACTTGCTGAGTTTAATAACAGGGCGGTCGATGCAGGGTAGTGGCGGTTGGCGGCCCCAAAGGGGGCAAGGGCGCGGCGGTCAGATGTGGAAATTATGGACGCAACAGAACTTGAATTAGATGCACATTTTACCTCAGCTGAGCTTAGTGCGGCGGTTTGGCGCCGCCGTTGGTTGGCGCGCGCGCGTGCTCCATGACTGATTTACCGAACCGCCAATGCACGGAGGGGAGCCGGTCGGGCGGCGCAGGCACGCTGCCAGGGCTCGCAGGGCAGCATGCACATAACGAAGTCCCTTCTTCATCCCAATTACACTTGTTGGTAGTTAGGATCCCCGCCAGGCATGCCAGTGGCCTGGGGCGAGGGCAGCCGACGCCGGCGCCGCGGCACAGGCCGCGGGCAGTGAGGCGCGTGGCGTGCCCCTGTGCGAGGCGAGGCTAGGATGAAAGACTACGGCGATGAGCTTACGAAAGGGCCGTGGACACCCGAGGAGGTGCGGACCTGGTTTTGCGGTTGAAAGGGCCGCGGTTGCGCTCCGCGGCCTCGAGCGCGACGCCTTCGCAGCATTACGACGTCGGAAAAGAACGTATTTGTGTTTATAGCGACTTCTTATGCAGCAGTGGGCGCGACCCGAGGCGCCGTTCGAGGCGCACTGCGCGAACGTTGCGCCTGGCCTCAACACCATGCGCGCCGCAGGACGCGCTGCTGCTGCGCTGCGTCGCCAAGCACGGCCCCAAGAACTGGAGCCTCATAGCTAGAAGCATTCCAGGGCGCACGGGAAAGAGCTGCCGCCTCAGGTGCGCGCAGGCGCACGTGCAAACCACTTGCTGCTGGCTCAACGTTGTGGGTGCTGTCCTGCTGCCGCTGCGGCCACAGCCGCGGCCGCGGCCGACGCAACGCCCGCAACGCTCTGTAACGGCGGCACCCGCTTTCAGGTGGTTGAACCAGCTTAACCCCAATGTGAAGAAGGAGCCTTTCAGTGGGGAGGAGGACGCCATCATAATGGCGGCCCACACGCTGCTGGGCAACAAGTGGGCATCCATCTCAAAGCTGCTGGTCGGAAGGTGCGCCGCAGCTGCCTGGCCAAAGCCCTCACACAGTCGCGACACAGCCTGCAGGCGTGCGAGGAGGCAAAGCCGGCGGGTCGCGTGGGCCGCGCATGGCAGGGCTCGCAGCTCATGCGTGCATGGCCGCCATATGGACGTGGGGCGCCGTCGTACATGTGGACTGATGGCAGACGGTACTGGCAGGTGGCGTGCAAGCAAACGGAGTCCGGATCCCCGCAGTGCTGGCTTTGAGATGTGAGGGCGGCGCACCCGCTCGCCCTACCGCAAGCCGCCGGCTTAGGAAGCAATCTGTCGCATATCAGCATGCGTGACCGCGCAGCTCAAAGTTGTCGCTGCCTGTCCACCCAACCAGGACGGACAATTCAGTGAAGAACCACTGGAACTCGACCCTCAAGCGGCGGCGCGGCGAGTACGTGCGGGGCGGCCCTCTGGACGTGTCTGAGCTGGCGGCGGCGATAGAGGTCCATCTAAGCCAGCGCGGGCTCGACCCAGGTGAGGGCCTGGGCGGAGGCAGGTTACGCTGGGGTGGTGCGGGGGATGCATGAACATGCAGCGCCTGTGTGTGTGTGTTTATGTGTGTTGTGTGTACCCAGGTGTGTGTGTGAATGTGTTCGCATACCTGCGAGTGTATGGGAGGGTGGGCAGTGGGGGGAAAGGCGCGGGTTGCTGCGGCCTGGCATGGCAGCCGCGCTGAATGACGCGGCACCCTGAAGCGTGCAACGCAGCCGTTGACCACTGGGGAGGCCGTTGCTGTGCGTGTGGCGAGAGACCCCAGCCCGTCAACCAGCCGAGCCGCGCGGGGCGCCTACGTCCCTGGGTTGCTCAACCGCCGAGCCGCAAAACCAAACTGCCGCCCAACTGCCAACTGTCTGATGCAGTGGCAGACCCTGACGAGGACGGCGCGGACACCAACCCTGTGATCCCTCTACTGACGCGCTTTGCCGCAAAGCCCGGCGATCCACGCGCGCGGCCCCCCTCGGCCGGCCCGCGCCCCGGCGCCGCGGCGCTGCTGGGCGCCGGCTCCGGCGACGACGGGCGCGGCGGCGGCATGAGGCTGCCGCTGGGGCTGCTGGGCGACTTTGGCGCGGGCGCGGGGCCGTCGGGGCGCGGGGGCCAGCGGGGGCCGCACATGCAGTGGGAGGAGGTGGAGGAGGAGGAGGGGGACGAGGAGGATGATGGGGAGGATGAGGAGGGTGGCGGCGGCGGCGGCTATGGAGGCGGCGGCCCGCGCGGCATGCGGCATGCATCTTCTGGTCTTGACGCGGTCGCTGCGGCAGCTGCCGCGGCCGCGGCGGAGCTGCAGCACGGCGGCGGCGGCGGCGGCGGCGGCGGCGGCGGCGGCGGCGCGGACGCGGCGGCCGGCAACGGCGACAGCAGCAGCGGGAGCGGCCGGGAGGAGGGCGCGATCGCGGCGGCGGCGGCTGCGGTGGCGGCGGAGGCGATGCGGCGTGTCAGTATGATGGGGGCCCTCGGCGGCGGCGCGCAGGCCGGGGGCTTCGGGGAGTTTCAGGGGCGAGGGCAGCAGCTGAGGCGGAAGCGGCGGTGGCAGGGCAGGGCTGGGGACGAAGAAGAGAGGGAGAGCTGCGGGTTTGAAGGGGAGGGCGACGAGCCGCATGGGGCCGGCGGGGCCAGCGGCGATGAGGGCGCGCCGCGGC